TTACACTAACTTAATCATGATGATAGTGATGCATGTTTTGGGACAGTTCCAGCGTGGGGTACAGGACAAAAGACTTGGTAGGGTAGCACATTCCAAAGAGACCACGTGAATTGGATTTAGCAGGTCCTGGGGAGAGCAGTTGACATTTTTCAGATAAACAATAGCAACCTCGTACGGAAATAATGTCCGTTCATCCAGCCATCCATTTTGAACACAGCTTAATCTGTTAAGGATTGTGGGGTGCTGGAGCCTATCACAGCTAAATTCAGGAAAAAGGAACATGGCAACCTAAACAGGTTGCCAGTGAGTCACAATGCACAATCAGACATGAACAATCATACGCATCATTGCTGACTGAGAACTGAACCCATGCTGCCCGCACACAAGTCAGACGGGTGTACCACTACTCCATCACTCACTCTGTAAATTATAGCAAGGTTATTTCAATGCTGACTGAATTTGATCACACCATTTTTGTTTTCAGACTCCCTGAGTGACTCTGGTGCTTGACAGGACACTTTTGAAATCAGATTCATACTCTCGCTTGGGTCTCACAATAATATCCAGGCATCTATTTTCTATAGCGCTTGTCGTAATCAAGGTCACGGGTGAGCTGGAGCTTATCTATGCCAGCCTTTGGGGAGAGCCAGGGTACACGCTGCACTGGTCGCCAGTCAACCACATAGCACATACACTTTGTAGTACAGTATAGACAATCAACCATTCACACTCTCATTCACATTGGGACCATGTTGAATGTTTAATGAACCTACAATGCATATTTTCGGAACGTGGGAGAAAGCCAGTGTGGCCGAAGGAAACTCACAACAAAAGATCTTCCCTCCTCGCACATCCCCACTGAGTGCAAAAGCATCGTGTTTTTGTTCTTCCCCTTCAATGTGGTGATTGACAGAGCAGAGTGCAGCTGAGTACACACCTTCACATTGCAAAGCTCTTGTGTAAGTTGGCACGGTGGGAATTAACCCAGTCACATGCCGTTGTGTAACTACTGAGAAATAGCAGACCACCTACAAGTAGTAAATAGCCCACCCATTCGTTGTGGAAAACATAATAGCAGCCCGGAAAAATCCAGTGATTTAACTGTGGAAGCTCCGAAATCCAACACACTGGAATTGTACAATTTAGAATGAAACCAAAGTTATGAGGAAGATATGCCATGACAACAACAAAACATAATGAGGTGATATCAGCAAATATCATAAGACCTGTGTTCAGACCAACAAAGGGCTGCTTGTGTCTTTCTTTTGTTTTTTGTTTTTTTGGCATATAACACAAAATGTCAGCATATTGCATGTGACCTCATCATATCCTGCAGGGCCTGAGTACTGCCATCAAAGGATTACCTGTATCGGTGTTCTGCAATGCATTTACCAAATGCAGGGCTAACCTCAATAAGAGTTGCGAAGAAAACAACTATATTGGTATATACTACTGGTATACTACTATACTAAAAACTATACTAGTATTACTTCTAACAAACAAAAAAAATGCTAGTTTAGTTTAAAAATCGGCTATATAATTGATTTGGCAAGACTTGACCATGCAGGGTTGTTTCTATTTCCTTCATTTCTATTTGGATTTTTCCATCCATCCACCTATCCATCCATTTTCCACCGCTTATCCGGGGTCGGGTTGAGGGGGCAGCAGCTTTAGCAGGGAAGCCCAGACTTCTCTCTCTCCAGCCACTTCTTCCAGCTCTTCCCGTGGGATCCCGAGGCATTCCTTGGCCAGCTGGGTGACATAGTCTCTCCAGAGTGTCCTGGGTCTTCCCCTGGGCCTCTTGCTGGTGGGACATGCCCGGAACACCTCACCAGGGAGGCGTCTAGGAGGCATCCTAATCAGATGCCTGAGCCATCTCATCTGGCTCCTCTCAACGTGGAGAAGAAAGAAGCACCTCGACTCCGAGCCACCCCCGGATGGCCGAGCTTCTCACCTTATCTCTAAGGGAGAGCCCGGACACCCTGTGTAGGAAAGTCATTTCGGCCACTTGTATCCAGGATCTCATTCTTTCGGTCACACACCATAGCTCGTGATCATAGCCACCTATGGAAATGTAGATCGACCGGTAAATTGAGAGCTTCGCCCTTTGGCTCAGCTCCTTCTTTACCACGACAAACCGATACAAAGTCCGGGAATGGATTTTTTTGGCATCCAAAATGATCTGAGGTTGAACAGCATCCCAAAAAGATTCGTGTTTCACCTCAGGTTCCTCCGTCATTCGATGAAATGATAATGCAGAAAAAAAAGCATAAAGCAAAGAAAAGTACAAAAGAAAACAAAACACAAAAAGATTCACAACCGTAAATGCAAACACTAAATTATTAATGTGTGAATCAGGTACAGACCAATCACGATCAAACCAGTTAGCAGTTATCCACTGATGATGGCGCTGGAAGAGGTTTTTGATGAGCATGCATAACGTATCTTAAGCAATGGAAAACCTTTTTTTGTAGTTAAGCACTTGCACTTGTATTTTATTCATATTCAGGTTTTTTTTTTTTTGGTTTTTTTTGTTCATACTCAGGCTGGATTGAAATTAATTCCTTTCACATTAGACAGTGTCTCACCAAGAATTATATAAGGGGACTTCTAGAAATGGAAGATGAAATCAAATTCTCCGTTTTTCTTGCCCAGATTATGAGGAATCTTTTGCGGTGAATATAAAGGAACAACAGGTTCTGCTTTGACGGAGCCAACACATACATTCACATGCCTCTTGGGCCTTATGGACATACTCAAACAGAGCTGCCATGAAAAACGTCAAGCTGCTGACACATGACCAGCCCCCCGCAGCTTAGACTTTCACCACTTTTACTACTTTTGCGCTGATGTTGGACGGCCAAAATTGTTCCGGGGCACAGCCTAAGAATCTTAATCTCTTCCAACATCTTGGCCTTAACCCATACTTGTTACTGTTGATCCAGTCTGGAACAAATTCAAAGAGCAGGCCCTCAAGATTCTTGCGTGGTGAATAGAATTCACCAAGACACAAATTCCTTAAAAGCATCAGGGGATTCCTTGAGGCGTGAGACCCTGAGAAATTTGGGTCAACATTGTCAGTAGCCTGTTATACAAACCAGAAGCATGCAGGTAAACAGAGGGGGAAACAATGGTGTGATTCCAGTGGAGGCAAGCTTTTTGAATTTCAATTCCTGGAACTCTAATTATCACAAACTTTTAAAGCACATGTCCTGTGCAAACAGTCACATCCTGCCAAACCTTTTCCTGTGTAGTACTGTTTGGTGAGAAATAAATGCTAATATCAATATTAAATCATTATGAATGCCTATGGGCAATCATTATTATACACTGACATTTTCCCGCTTTGGACAATGTAAGAAGGTGTCAGAAATGTCCCAGGTCTGGTGTCCCAAAAGATATAGTTCAAAGGCAAACTACAAATTTTCCCCTTCAGTCTAATCACTCTTGAGTCTGTAAGTGTGACCTTGGTTCTCAGCAGCCATTGAACATTTTTTTTTCTCCCACATGCTTGTATCTACATATCCTGTGTGTATCTGGTGTCCAGCAATGAGCAGAGTGCGTGATGATAAGGCCAATCAGACCAGACTTGTGATGGAATAATTGTTTCTATTTTAGGAATATCTGGAATCCTACTGGAAAACCCCAAAACTTGCTGTGGAGGCCAATGGATCTTCAAGTATGATTCTGTAACCAAATTCTAGGGCTGGGCAATGGTGGAAAATAAATAATAAAATAATAATCCGGATTTTTTTTTTTTTTTTTTTTTTTTTACATTGAAATTACAATAAGAAAAATAATTATTTGTTGAGTTCAAAGCTTGACATTTATTCAACTACCAAGTTTCAAAAGAACAACCAGACAACTGTTTGGCAAATCAATTGTTTTTCAATCAGAATATCTTTATGATTACAAGAAGTTAAAATCCGAATCACAATTAAGTTTCGATTAATTGCTCTAGCCTTCATGGGTAGCATTCGACATCGCTAAAGCTGAAAAAAACCATCATCCTCTGCGAGTTCTTGCCACAGGGCCAGACGGACAACCAATAAGCCTTCAAAGAGGTTGAGCAGCAATTGCTTTGTTCAGTGCGCGAGACAAGGTGAGAATTGTGTCGGGACAACACATCTATTCACAGTTCGCTCAGAATCTAAAAGTTCTTGGCCAACAAGAACTTTGGTGTGCTGGAACAACTTGCCTGACTAACGCCAGCTGGCTCTGTATGATTTTTTTTCCATCTTCCTAACTCTGTATGATTTTTTTTTCCATCTTCCTAAGCTCAAGGAGAACGTCAAGGGGACCGATTTTGAAGAAGTTTACGACATAAAGATGGCCTGATGACAGAGCTGTTGAAGATCCCAGAGGGATCCTTCCAGGAGCACATAAAGGCATGGCAGGGAAGGCTGGGAAAGTGCATTAGACTCCATGGGGATTACTCAGAAGTTGTGTGGTCATCTCCCAACCAAGAGGTTGGGAGTTCACTTATGACCATGTTAAAATACTTTGAGCAAAATATCGAACCTTCAGTGGCTCTTGGTGCTCCGTCTTCTCTAGGTGAATGAGGAGTCAGTGTGAAGTGCTTTGAGTACAAGCGAAAGCCCAAACCCCCCCATTTATGAGGCCATTCCTGGAACTTTTATGACCCACTTCATGTTGTATTCGATGTTGGCTTTCAGTAGAGAACAATACCAGCCAGTTGTTTTCAGTAAACGTTAACTAGATTTATAGAAGCTAGGTGATTAGTTCAATGGATCAAGCAAGTGTTATTCAGATGGATAATGTAGTGATGACAGTATTGCTTAATATCAACCTTCTCCAATTCCACTGCAAGATGTTCATAAGGAGTTTGCCATGATGAAATGATCCATCATTTTTATCGGCCTGTTTCTCCTTTCTTTTTTTTTTTTTTTGCAGACACACTTAAAGTGCAGGGCGACCCACATCTCCTGTGAGAGTGAGTGATTTAGTCTATACAGCATTAATGTGTGTGTCCTACTTACCCACTTTGAACTGAGACGTCTTGTCCTCGGTGTCTGCGTGCTCCCTCACCAGCATCATGTGCAGGATGCCAAAGGAGTTCTGAATCCCGAAGATGGACCCATTGCACCAGGTGGCTGCCAAAACCACCAGCCAGCCAAAACCTCCTTCCGGCGGCGAGAATAACGCGCCGTGCCTTTCTGCCGTGTCAGTTTCGAGAGCCGGAGATGAGATCGACTTAAATCCAGCCTCGACCAGTTGCACGTTGCTGTCCTCCTGAGGGAGTTTAACATCGCTCTCCCCTGAACACTCATCCGTCTTCCACTCTTGAGCAGCATCGCCCTGCTCGGCCGACTGTTCTGTCTCGGACACCCGGCTAGACGGTTGCGCCTGGTCGTCTACCTCGTTCTTCCCCATGCTGCCTGCTCTAGCGTTGAGGAGACTGCGGGCGCTTGGCGTACACACATGAGATGTAGGTCACTGACATAAGCGTGGATTTGAATAGCAGATTTGATTGGCTCTCTTTCAAAACATAGTGGCCGACAAGTACCCTTAGCACTGCTCACAGTCTCGGCATCAATAGAGCCACGAGCCGATTAAATGTGTGCATCCAGGAATTAAAAATCGCCGTTGGCTGTCGTGTTCTCCGATTAAAAAAAAAGTCTTAACACAAAGAGACAATGTTTACTTTTTGTTTTCTCGCCCACCAAAGAACCTGACAACCGACCTGCAAGCACCTCGTCTCGGCCGAGGCACCACGTGTCCCCCACAACAACGCAACAAAAGCTGACCGAGGTTAAATTGCTCTAATAAAATGTGACCAATTTCTCGTGGGGATACTTCATAGGTTGTCTCGTCCCGTCCACACTCCGACCAAAACACTGCCGCCGGTAGGGTCGTCATTCAATAACTAACGCACGCCCTCCTTTCCTGGCAGTCGAAGTAGATAGATCGATACAAGCATCGATATTATCGATACCTATCTGTGCGTTGATATCTATCGATATCATCATGAGATTTATACAGTATTTGGTGTCCTGTTTCGCCCATATATGGTATGCACTGCGGATGTTTTACCAAACCGTAACTCAGCTGACTGTGTTTATATCTTGCTAGTCATTAGTCTCCACGAGCTACAAATTAACTTACAAAAAGACGCTTACGTATTGTGTGAACACATAACTTATTACAAAAATGTGGAGTGGAAGACACAGGTTTACAGTTAGACCTTGCAGTCTCCTCATAATTCTAACATCTCTTTTCGAGGAAATGAATGGCAGAAGCTGGACAGATCAAACTGAGATAGGAATAACAAGTTTCTGTTTCCCATTTAGTTTATTGCAAAGCAACACAATACATCAGGAAAGTTTTCATATTTATAATGACAATAATTGATTTTACCTGAGTCTCTTTCAAGTAACAAGAATCTAGGGAATTTCGCCTGGACTGCCAAGTGCCAAGGTAGTTCAAGTAACAAGAATTTGGGAATTTCGCCTGGACTGTCAAATGCTCAGGTATTTATTTCACAGTCACACTGATTCTGGGGTTTCCAGAGGGTATGGCCAATTGAGCAGTGGCTCCAGGCATCTACGTGGTAAAGGGGCATGCACAAGCATATTTCCCCCTCACACACATACCTCCTCACGCAGCTAACACGCACACACACACACACACACACACACACACACACACACACACACACACAGGCACACAAAGAATAGGTAGCGGTATCAATTTTAGAGATAACCACCCGGTATCAAATCGATACCTGACGTGTTCCTGACGACGAAGACCAATGGTTCGGCTGAGGAAAGGATAATACTTCGGTTCCTTTCGGATTTACGAACAGGCACGAACGTGTCCTGGTGGATTCCAAGCACGCTCCGTTGCCTGGTTCCTCCCACACGTTGTCTTATGAGCTAACAACCAAAATTGTTCCACGACTCGTTGGAGCAACCGCGTTAACACGCGTACCTGGTAGTGAGATTGTTTCGCAGTTCAGAAGTCTGTTCTTGCTTTCTCGTAGCATTTGTTGATGTCATATCAGCAATTTGCTGCTCAAGTTATCACTACGACCACAAGAAAGTCGCCGAAATTACGCGTCTGTGATAGATAGCATATCAAGAAAAAAGACCACAAGGATTTGGGGCGATTGGGAGGGGGCGGACGGAAAAACTAGGTCAACCCTATAATTTTGAAACAAAAGACCAACTCCCTCTCTTCACAATTTTATGAACGGTTGGGTGGAACAATAGATGGTCCGTATGTAGGAACGACTGTGAGCATCAAGAAGCCCTGCAAAATTTGTATATTAGATCACGACATTAATGGTCAAATTTTTGTGCTGTCCTTTGTTCCCAGTAAAGGCATTTAGTGATGAATTTAGGACCCAATTTTGTTATCTGTAGTTTCCTAGTGCTGTTGAATTCACTCCCAAATAGAAGCAATGTGCTGTTTTAATCAATTTTTGAAATTGAACAGTAACACGTATTTACCACTACGGGGTGCTGCAACTCTGTGTAAGATTTGCTCGCTCATGTGGCCAAGAAACTCGAACCTCGTTGTTCTATTGAAGAAAAAAAAACTAAATTTCTGTCCTGTTAATTTTCAGAAACACAGATACATTTTTATTACTGCTTGTTCTGCTAAGGCTAAAACAGCAAAAACGTGCCGCTTATTTTTATTCCAAGGTATATACTGTATTTTCTTTCTGTATATGACATTGGCAGAGGTTAAATACCTGTGTTATGATGATTGAAATACAGTACTGTTTTGTATTATTTATTTCATACCGTACTCTATATGTTGACAAGTCTACTATGGAACACTAATCAAAGCCATTTTCCATTACATGTGCTTTAACTGTCCCTCCTTATCACCCCAGTGGCTTTTCTACTCACAGACAATAACAGAAAATGACAATGTGAGTTATTGGGCCTTTGGAAGGAACATAAACAGCTGCAGTGCACAACGAAATAAAATGAGTCATTGTATTGCATATAAAGAATAACTTAGTTATATTGTATTTTCCCCAAACAGTTTTGTTTCCTCATCATGCGTATTGTATAGATTAGAGGTGATGTTGTTGTGTTTTTCCCTAAGGATTTATTCTTACTCACATTTTTTTCAGGGTGTGTTCGCTTTCTATAGTGGCTGTAGATTCTGTACTCCTGGAGGCATGATCGTAACGTAACAGTCTCAAGGGTGTTCAGTCATGTTGACATTTGCTGACTGCAGGGCATAGCGTGTGATTCACATCATGTCCATACAACTTAAACAGACCGTTTTGTTTTTCAGCATTAATTTTTGACAATGTTCCTGAAACCTCTGATTAGACTGTTTTGTGCTTGTAAACAAGCCTTAACCCATTAGGGTTCCATGTAGAGTAGTGAAAAATGTCATTGTACATTTAACAGAGCCACTTTATTTTATGTGACTCTTTGTGACAAAGCAAGTTGTTTACCATCCAAAACTACTACTCCAATTTAAATTTGCAGTGGTCACTACATTAAAAAAAAAAAGTAAAGAAAGTGTTTAATTGGTGTCTGAAAATGACAAAAAAGTGGCAGATGATGTGTTCAGATTTTTTTACCGGTAATTATTTTTTTATATTTTGGGCAAAAAGTCGCACATACAATTATTCATATAAAGGGGCTTTTGGGCTTAACTCACTTCAATAAAATGATTTGGTTTAGACACTGTGTTCAAACTATCATGACAGTTACCAGCAGATATTAAACTGTGAGTAACATGAATGAATCAACCCTTTTGTAAAATGTTTGCGACTCTTACATTTTTCCTTGATTCAACATCACTCAAACACGTTCTGAACGAATGAGTCATGAGATGGGGTGCGACATCATCATGGACACATGTTAGCATTCAGCCCTTCAGAAAAAGAGAAACATCATCCACAGTCATTTAAAAATAAAGAGCTTAAAATAGCAATTCACGTAACACTCCAAACACAAAGGCCGATCGCATTCAACTATCCTGGAATTTTGCTTTCAATGTCAAAGTTGACCAGCGACAGCCAATAACAGCGCTTCCCATTAAATTAGGAAGAGAGAAATCCTCCGAGGTGTTTGTAGAAGGGGAATGAGTATCTGTCTAGCAAATGTAGGACATCAAGAGGCCCACACATTTCTCAAACAGTATCTAAGTCCTGAGATGAACACAGTCAATGGGAATTTATCGGTTGGAACTTGCTCAGTGGGTGTAGGTCACTCTCTTGAATCTTGGCGTTCACTGTGTTAAGAAATAGGATAATTTTCCATGAGTATTTCTTCCATGAGTGTGTCCTATCCCACTACCTACAATGGTTAGGATGGCACAGTATTATGCAACATGCTTAAACATGCTGCGCTGGTGGGAGTGGAATCCTGCACTGGCAAGCTGCTTTTTATTTGTAGTAGCATGACTCACTCCGGGTTCATTTATTCCTCAGGGGCCTTATAGCACCAAAGTTTGTACAAAACATCAACAGTCTTGTTTGTCCAGTTGTAGGGTATTCTTATAATGCATAATAAATGCCCTCTGTTTCGACTTTGAAAATTTCACTCATGATCAAATGAAATTTAACTTGTATACGGGACATCACGTAGGCAAATCGCTGAAGACTAAACAATCTTATCAGCAGTGGAATCTACTTTTTGGAGACTACCTGTATTCCACAACTTGAGAGGAGTGTGGACCAACCATTCCATACCTTTGATTCCTTTGGAAGGAGTGGTACTGCGGGTAAATGTATAAAATCACTTTTTGGGGAAAATCTCAATTGCATTATAAATGGAGAGGAAAAAGTAAACTTTCATGACCCCCGGTAATGCATATTGTAATTGATTCACGTACTTCTTTCCTCCTTTTCTTGTAGGAAATAAGCTCTTTATCCGCAGACTGCATTCTTATGCAAAAGCCTGAGACCGCCAATAGATTGGTTGTTTTAGCAATGCCTCAACGGCCATGTACTAGAAGAATGTTCCTCAGCAGAGCACAGAGTTCTGTCAAAAAGCATCACGTCTGTAAGTGTCCCTCATCTGATTAAGCAGTTGAGTCATTTTCAGACAGGTGCATCACTTTCGTACTATTAGGCACCGTTCTTGTCAGATAAATTCATACGAATAAGCATTTTGTGTGTGTGTGTGTGTGTGTGTGTGTGTGTGTGTGTGTGTGTGTGTGTGTGTGTGTGTGTGTATGTGTGTGTGTGCGTATGCGTGTGCGTGTGTGTGTATATCTATGTGCGTGTGTGTGAGAGAAAGAAAGTAATGCTCGCGTATTTCCTTTTACCAATTTTTAATGTCTTATTATAAGTGGCAAATGCGCAACTTTGTTTTATAAAGTTGTGAAACCGAATAATGACTAGTCAGTGCCTCACCAGCCATGATCGTCACTACATGTTGTTGCGCAGTATAAGCTCTCATACAAGTGTCATGCGTCTGTCATCCTGTCAAACATTTCTTTCCCACTTCCTCAAAGAATATTTCTAGGTGTATTGACGACAGTACATTTCTCAATGGCAACAAGACAGTCAAACATCAATGACTGCACACATACATTTTATTTCTAACAGGAAACATGAAGAGATATTCAATTACAGGTGTTGCCAACAACTACAGAGTGAAACAAAACAAAATGGTTTTATTGATTATGTATAAAAAGGACTTTGTTTTGGGTGGGGGGGGTAAATAATGAAGACTTCAGACTGGGGAGAGACTGTTCAGAAAAGAAGACTGATAAGCCGCAGTAACATGTACCATCCAGTTACAGGTTTGTGAAACTTATCAGCGCCCGCATTTCTGGTGAGGATGGCGCATGGGGGATGGAGGACACGGTGGTCACCGTGCCAACACTACCTGAAGAGTGAAGACATATAGATACGTGTGTATTCAGGAGATTCTTTCAGGTATGTTTTCATAAAACTAACTTTTAGTCATTTACAACGACAAATAAAAAAATGTGACTTTTTCCTCTCCCTTTACTCCCACACCTTCAGTAAATCATAAGCAACACTTCAATGATAAGCAACACCCTGAATGAGATGCATTGTAAATTATGAAATGCAAAACACAACTTCAGACGCATTCTCAATAGATTGCGTGTTTGTGAATCTATTTTGTATGTTTCGCTTCACCAAGAATGTTTTCCATCTGTTCATACTCAGTCGTTGTGGTTTTAGTAGACATTTGACACAAATTTTCTCTTATCCGGCACATCTGGCTAATATACCCACACATGCATGCACACAATTGTGTGGACGTCTAAACACCACATTTTTTGGTGTCATGTTTAATGTGCAAACAGTACGACTCTTCAAGTCCATATACTGTCGTCTTATTTGGCTGAACTCTTCAAAGACTTGTTTAATCTTTTCAATAATTTATTACTACTTCATTTGTTGTTATCAAATAGGCTTCCCTTCATATGAACATGGTTACATTAAGGCAGGAAAGTTCACATTCACACGATCTCATTTCAATGCTGTTTGTTTTTACGTGACGGTGGGCATTTTTCCAATTTAAAATCATTTATTTGAAAGAAAACAACAGTGGAAGTCAAGGAATTTGCTAAAGAAAGGGCAGATTTTTTTTCTCACTCTGTTTCACTAATAAGAAAGAGAGCAAGCAATCTTTGCCAGCTTTATCGGCACATAACAGGGTTAGCATTCATCGTTCCACTTCACTGACAATAGAGGTTTCAAGCGCTGGATGGAGACTATTAGAAATAAACAGGCATGCATTCCTCACCCCCTACCCTCGAAAGCACACAATGATGCTGACCTTAATGCCCTAGTCACTCGAACACCTGCATAGCTTGTCGGATGTTTTTGGCTTAAATAATGAACAACAGCTGCGAAAACAACACACACAACAAGTTACAGCCTCCTTCACGCAGCTATTAGTATGCTGAGCGCTGCACAAGCTGATGGTAACCCAAAGACACATTCAAGCGTATCATAGCTTGTAGCACTGTTGAGAATGGCAGCATGGTTAAAAAAAAAAAGAGCAGAGGCAGCATGTTAAATAGAGACGGGGGGAGGGAAAGGCACCAAAGGGAGAAAAGCGGGGATGTTGAGGAGGAGGAGGAGGTGGTAGAAGAGGAGGAGGAAAGTTTTTAGAAACTCACAGTGACAACACAAAACGGCGAGCACACACACACACAAGGAACTGAGAAGACACTTGAAATATTCTTCATCACCAAAGAGGTACAGTAAATCAATGTTCTTTTCTGAGTCCAAAATGCAAGACAATGTCATGGTTTATTCCTTGTGATTGAGCAATCGGTGTTGGCATTCAAACAAAGCAATCATCTGGAACAGTTTTTAGTGCACTTGGATTACCGTTAAGTTCCCACGGAAACCACTGAGCTTGTCAGCGCACTCATTTGTTGAGATTCCAGTATAGCCCTATACTGTCGTTTGTAAAGATCAGGAACATTTCTTCTCATGTACATTTCTTAGTACAATATTATCTACATTTCTAGTTTTGGTAAGACACGAATGTGCATACTCGGGGATCTTTGTGTTGATATCAACACACTTTTCAAAAGAAAAAGATGATGATTTTTATTATTTGTACTGTGTTTGGGGCCTTATTTTTATGATGTTTATTTTCTTTCAAGCTACAAAAAAAGCAATCAGAATAATCAATAGGTCCAAATATATAGAACCCACAAATCCACTATTCATCAAAGTAAACACAATGAAATTCTATGACCTGGTTGACTTCAAAATCGCCCAATTAATGTATAAAGCACATCACAGTCTCCTTTGCCAAAATATCCAGAACCATTTTGAAATTAGAGATAGTTGTTATAATCTAAGAGGTACGAATCAATATAAAAAATCCAGAACAAGAACAAACATCAAGCAAAGGTGTGTATCAGTAATAGGAGTCAATCTGTGGAATAAGCTTGAAACGGATCTGAAAATGAGTAAATCGCTGGACGAGTTCAAAAACAAATTTAAAAGATTAGTACAAACAAACTACAAAAATCAAAGTTAAGAAGATAAATTCGATATACTTATAAAATATAGTAATATAACGGTCTGTTCTTGTTTTGGATTTTGATCAACTCATTAAATGTATTCAAGAAATGCAGTAATTACAATGAATATGAGACAATTGATATAAAAAGGAGAAAGAATAATTATGTGTGTATATATATATATATATATATATAGGTACAGTACACATAAGGGTAAAAGTATTTGATGAGATGTAGATCTCTTCCTTTTCTTTTGTATTGAAAAAGGATTCATTTATATTATTACACAACAAGGGGTAGGACTAGATAAGTTGCATACTTCTTCCGACTCCTTTGAGCATATAACTGTGATGATGTTTGTTTTTTACTTACTTTTTCTTTAAAGCTTTAGGAAAATAAGTTTCAAACTAGACAATTTAGATTAGGTACACCTGCATTGTTGAATGTGATACACTGTGTAATGTGTCCAATACGATACAAAAAATTTAGTTATGATCCTTAGTTAATTAGTTCTTATACTAATTATACTATATGACTCCTACTGTGTTTGAGACATTATTTTCAATTATGTGTATTTTCTTTCTTTTTTTACATAATTTTCAAAAGACACTTTTCAGTTGGTACACCTACACTGTCGAATGTAACTAATACAAAGAGTAATTACTGCTGAGTTTGCTTGTTTGTTTGTTTGTTGGTTGGTTGGTTGAAAATAAACCACTTTCACCTTTGTGAAAAAAACCCTACACTGATTAGGGTTGTTTGTGCTTGGCTAATGCCTGCGCTCCATTTTAGCTCTCCTAAACCAGATGAGTCTCATCAGCAAGTGCACCGAACATGGTGGCTGTGAAGTCTATTTAATTCACTAAACAACAGAATTAACTAAGCCATTTTAACCTTTTCAGGAAACAAAGAAAAAGCATTTCCAACACATAAGAACAGCCCCGTTGCCTGAATTTAACCTCTGCAGATTACCATAGCCCGGATGACTGAGAATCTACACAGGCATCAAGGAAAAAAATATGAGCAAGCAGAATTAACTAAGCCAAAATGACTCACCTAATTACAAATTATACAATTAGGCTAATGATTTGACAGACAATATTGGTTATTGTTGTTGCATCGTTATTGTAATCACCCTTGCAATGTTTCTGGACAGGCATGACACCACTACGTAGGAACCCAACTGTGCTTCTCCTTTTCCTGAGTGCCTGGCCTCTCCTTCACTCCCACCTCGCCACTGACGCTGCTTCTACATCTCCTCCAATCACTCGCCCACGTTTCACATTTATGACTGGCCTTGATGCAGATTACTATGAGGATTATGATGAAGAGGATGACTCCCCCAGCAAACGTCCTCCGGAAGTACTCGCCACCACACGGATGCAGTTTCTACAACGGGAGCTCTGCAAATTTAACCCCTGCTTGGAGAATCAGGTGCCCTGTGCCAAGCTGTTAGCAGAGACTGGTTGCCTCTGCCCCGGCATCAGTGGAGTTGATCAACCTCCTCATTCACCACGGTTACAGGCAATGATACCAATCCATAAGGGGGAAGTTGAGGTCAAGTGGTGTGCTCCAACCTCTGTGGTGACTCAATACAGAGTGGTGGTGGAGGGAAAAGATGGAAAAACTATAGAGTTCGGGGAAGATTCTCGACAAGGCTTGGTGGGGTCTTTGGAAGTTGGAACCAAGGTGTGTGTGGAGGCGGTCAACAAAGCAGGACATAGCATGCCCACAGAGTTTTCCTGCATGCGATATGACCCTCCCTCTTCATCAGACTATGAAGTCTTGGTAGGTATTATCGGAGGAGGAATTCTTCTCTTGATCCTAATCTCAAGTGTGATTCTCTGGAGGTGTTGTAAAAAACGACAGGCAAAGAGAGACTCCGCTGATGGACTTGGAAACCCATCATACAGCACAGAAGGGACATTGTGATCCAGATAGAACGATTTTAGTAGGATGTTAAACATATAGGGAAACAGTCCAAGAGAGGATTATTTACCATATCAGGAAATGTGTCAATATAGAAATAAATGATCAGTTTTGTTTTGTCTAATACCATACATTTCAGGGCTAGAACTACCTGTTTTTGCTGGCAATTGACTTATGTAGATCTCTAGTTCAGTTTTTGTTTATATTTTTGTATAATGGCTGAACCTTTGGTAATAAAATTATGTTTTGTGGAGAAAAACTAAATAATTTGTGTTTTGTTTTGTTTTCTCAGAGTTGGTATTATTTTGTGTGAGATAAATTAATCTAGATTAATTAATAAGATTTAAAATTGCTTCAGAACATAGTATCTCTATTTCTTTTTTTCAAGAATCTATTAAGCCTCTGAAAAGGATTCCTCTGGCAATCTACTAAACTGCAGTCAAGATTCATGTCCTTTATTAAGTAAAATCCTATTTTTGTACGACGATAACATTTTAGAACTATTACGGCGTTTATTTTATCGATATACTGTCACACTGAAACGTTAATATTATTGGTTGAGAGTAAAATAAGTCCCGCCTCTTCTTGGTATACAGAGCAATGATTTGTCACAGAACACCAGGAAGTTCCTTCCCTATCTGCGAGAATGACAGATTCAGGTGAGTGACTACTTTCTTGATCAAACGTGATTTTGTCGTGTTTTTCGGGCCATTTGTATGAATTGCGTGAAACGTCCTTTTCTTCTTCTTTTTTTTTCAGTTTTAACAGCCATGTTGTAGACGATCGTATTTTTGAAATAAAGAAAAATAACCGGGAGCAGTTAAAATGCGCAACAAGAGGAAGTGGGAAATGAAACCATCCTTAAAAACACGACTTTTATCGTTGTGTCACTTGAAGGATAAGCAATGAATTTGCAAAGCACACAAGCAAACGCGGAAATTTGAAGGCAGTCAGCAACGTCCGAGCACGAGCAGCAACGCAAAACAAACACAACAGAGACACAAAATGTATTCAATAGGCACATGCACGAAATACACGACAATGACAGCCTACTGCTGCATATTACACCGTTAATTTTCCTTTGGGGATGAATACAACATATCTATCTATCTATCTATCGATCTATCTATCTATCTAATCTCCATACAAAAACATTACTGTACTTCCTAACTACAGTATTTTAGATTTTTCCTTTACAGGTACTGGAAATGACAGTTGATGCCTGTACTGTACACCTAAACTGAATGTACTTTACTAATGTACTCCAGTACAATAGCCATTGTGAGGGCTTCATAACATCTTGAGCCACAAATTACCGTTTACCTCTAAGTACTGCTGTTAATTGCGGTACGCGTGTTGTGTGCTGATTGGTGCAGACCCATTTATGAAACTTTAATTCTCCATGTTTGTAATTAGGTGTGGGGATCCTGTTACTCAAGTTATACAAGAATTGCTTTGCATGCTGTAATTGTATCCTCTGATTTGAGGTCTGATTCAAAAGCAAATGCTGACATTTATTTGGAGCATTCAACATTAATTGTATTATTTTTCTTTGTGCTTTACAGCCGTTATGGAGATATCATATGATGATCTGAGAGCACTTATGGAAAAAGGCCAAAGCCTATTTCTTGTTGATGTCCGTACTCAGCAGGAAGTGGACGAGGGACGTATACCCGGATCTCTTCATATCCCAGGTCAGCTCCGACTCCATCATTTACTTGTAAATACAGTAGTCCGAAACAGGTATGCTGTTTAGCCTAGTATAGATTGGTGTCATGTCAGCTGACTTGTCTTTCTTATTTACATTTTTTCCTGCATTTCACGTCAATAACTCAGTTGATACAGTGGAAGAGGCCTTTAGCTTGGAACCAGAAGCCTTTAAGGCGAAATATGGCGTCACAAAGCCACCGCTGGACTGCCCAGAGCTGGTCTTTCACTGTCTGCTGGGAAAACGAGGGGCAGCGGCCACAAGCAAAGCAAACCAACTTGGCTACTTGCAGTAAGACAGTTATTTCAGTTCATATTGTACTTAGGGAAGTACAGTCATGTGGGCTTTGGCTGTCAACATATTCTATTAACTCTTTTTACTTGGAACGTACTGATGCATTTGTTACTCATGAAGTAAGCAACATTTGTGTGTTCTTGTGTCTCAGTGCCCGTAATTACGCCGGAGGATACAAGGAGTGGTCTGAGAAAACAGCACAGTGACTTTTATTGATGAGAAGAGCATAGGGGCCGAATTGGACCATGTATTCTTGTGCTTAATTTTTGTATCCTGGTTTGCTTTCATTTACACTCCATCTTTTCATTAAAGAAGTTGCAAGTAGTATTTGCCCAGTTGTGTTTTGTCATCATTGTCAAGTCGTAATACCGTACCTAAACCAGAGGTTTGTAGTTGTTAATGTATTACTCACTTATTACATAGAATAAATATTACAATTATATTAATCTGTGGTTATTGGGCATAGTCTCCCCCCCACCCCCGAAGGCATCTTCCAATTGTAATGCTGCTAAATTACAATACAATTGTTTACTTACAAACAATTTTACAATAAATACGATAAGATATAACATTGTTATTTTGAAATGATAATATCAACGACAAGTGACATCATCAAATGATAGTTATTTACCCTCAGGGAAAAGTAGTACAGTATATATGAATATAAAGTATACTCTATAAAGTATACTCGGTTATAATTATATAAAGTGTACTTTTTCATACTAAATTGGAACACATGAAGTTTTAAAAGTACACTTATAAGTATCTGTATACGTTTCAGTACAAGCCAAGTAAACTTCTGTGAAGTTAATAATAATATAGTTTTTTAAAAGTCCACTTATAGTACACTGCCTCCAATTTAGTGTAAAACAAGTTTCCTAACAGTATACCGGTACTTGAAGAACCTACTTTTTGCTCAGGTTAATTATAGCACCTGTGGCTACTGGCTATATGACACACGGCTATATTTGACGATGCTGGAACAAATAAAGCAGGTCAGTAATGTGTTTTCCCAAAACCACAAGTTATCATTTGTGGTGGTTTTTTGGAGAGCTGCCTTTAATAGTTAAGACAATATGCATATGCTAACGCTTATTAGCAGAGCAATATGTAGCATGCTATGATGGCAGTAGTAAGTAGTTTTCCTCGACCCTTAGGCACTACGGCTCTTTCTACTTTCGGGAAAGGACGGTCGCTGTCAAGGGGGACTTTTAGTCCTTCTCTGGGCTGAACCAGGAGCCGCAAACTGCGCTGGTAAGTTATGATATTGAATTGTTAAATAATTTTAGATGCTCTATAAGCTACAGCTAACAGCAACTCACGTTGCCAACGCTTGTCTCTATATCTACACATAAAAGGTTAGTAATTTATACTCTTTCACTCAGAAACAAATGTGTCAGCTGTTTTGATGGGGTTTTTTTTCCCACAAGGAGGATGAAGAATTCATTAAAAATATGCAATACTGTACTGTCACAATATTGCGTATTTGAAAATCAACTTTTAAATGGGATTGATTGGTTGTGTCACGTATTCAATAGTAAATGTGTCCAATGAATACATTAGATTTCAGAGACCAATTAACATTTCATTTCCTCACTTAAAAAAACAACAACAACATAACATGTATCCTGCAGTCATTTGACTGTTCTTAAGAGAGGAAACATGAACAAGGACTAGAAAAAATATGCCCCTTTTATGTGGTGCAGTTGCAGCTGCGGGTTCTAAATGGGGACAAATCCAACCGGAAACACTCAAAAATGGTATGTGCACTCACACGTGGTTCAGTAAATCCTTACAGTCATGTCACCTTTGGGACAGTGTTTTTTTTTTTCTGTTGCATTAGTCCTCATAGATTTGAAGTTTTCCTGCGCAGGACCAATTCCTGAGCCTGACCCACAGGATCTGTGCGCTTTCACTGATATGCACGGCTCTCTGAAATTATTTCTTTTTTTTCAGGTAAAATCAATCGGAATTGTTTGCAAGTGTCTGTTAGAAATGTGTGCTTTTCTTCTGTTTAGGGCACATTTTTTACTCTTTATGCTCCACAGGTAAAAGATTTAAGATGCTTCAGTCCAGAGTGGTCTGCTGGTATCAAAGATTTCCTACGCATATTTAGTCTGGCCAATGCAGGGGTAGGTATGGTCCTGCGCAGACATTTTTTCAACATTTTTGTACTCAAATTGGAGAAAATGTTAATTTATCTTTTTACAGATCAGCGTGCACCTGCGATGCAAGTTCCCCCAGCAGACCATTCAGCAAGAATTTAGGTTTGTATCATTTGTGTGTATCATATCTATATCTGTTCACTCCAATTAGAATATTTTATGTATGTACCGGTATATTGTAGAATGTTATCTTTTCTCTCTCTCTCTCTCTCTCTCTCTCTCTCTCTCTCTCTCTCTCTCTCTCTCTCTCTCTCTCTCTCTCTGTATACACACACACACACACACATATATATATATATATATATGTGTGTGTGTGTGTGTGTATATATATATATATTTGTCATTGTGCACCTAAATGTAATGGGTTCACCCCACACAACTGTTCCATTGTTGTGGAAATTGGTTTAAAGTACTTTGGCATTCTACTAACAATCGCTAAATAAATAAAATTGCATATTTATACTCAGGTGAGTGTAACATCATGTAAAAATGTGTTCATTCAATTAAAATGAACTTTATATATTACCGGTATGCTCGATTGCCTTCTTCAACATTTGATCTCGTTGTCTCCATTGCATCGGTTTAATTTTGATTATGTATTCAAAACATTTTGAACTTTTCCATAATGAATGCAAAAGCCAAGTACCAGACACGAACTAAATGTATTTAGCTTTTAAGTAACTAAGAAAAACATCTTGTTGACATAACGTTGTTGTTCTTGCAGAGCGAGCTTCACAAGGAGAATTACCCTGGCAATGAAACCAGCACGGATGTTAGATGTCACCTGTAGTTCCTTGTCAGTATCTTGACGGTCCAGTTCTTGTCACGATGAATTAGCACAAATTCTGCCTTTACAAACACAATACAGTACTCCATTTTTAATTGACACTCTTGGAAAGATGCCTATTCAACAATATACAGTGTGTATTGTTGTGGTTGTAGTTTGCAGTGGTGTATAACTACACTGGGTCATAAATGTCATAATATTTTTCCCTTTTTAATGGTACGCAAGAGTTTTTGCTGAGGCTCTATTCTTGAGTGTTGAGCGAACTCGTAACTAACCAAACAATGTAAGGGACTGAAAATATGCTCTCTTGAACTAGGACCTTTGAATGTTTGTTAAGTCTCTCTTTCCATCTCTTTGGACTTGAAGCACCAACAAACTGGTGACGAAAGGAAGCTGGTGTCCCGGAGGCCACCCTGTCCTGGGCAGCAATTTGCCTCTAAGCATCCCACCTGAGACCATGGACAGCGGCCTGTACGGCGAACTCAGTTTGCAGCTTGTGACCCTACTTTCACCTTGTGTGCTGCAGTACCCCAATCTGGAAACCCTTCTTACGCACATGGAAGTATCCTTCCATTTGTTTCTGTTTATATTCTGTATTTATCATACTGATTAGAATACCTCAAGGGCAAATTCTACTTCCACTTCTCGTATCTTTTTTTTTTTTTTTTTTTTTTATGCGCACCACCCAGAGAACCAGATCACAAACATGCAAGGAGATTGAAGGGGCATGCATGTAAGCATTGTTGTACCTCTTGAGCTCAGGTTTTGGGGTTCAGTGCCTTGCTCATGGCCCCCTTGTCTGCAGTCTCAAAGCAGACTAACATCTCTCCGACAACGTTTTACAATTTTTGCCATAGCCTCGCTCTCCAGTTCCAAAACCCATGTGTGAACCACTACTGACCATCTCACTGGTAACATACAACTCACATAAAACCGACACATCGACACACTGAGTTCCTTAACTTGTGGTTAGGTGCTGGCTTACAGCCCTTCTAATGTTCCCATTACATTCCCCTTTGCCTTCTTCCAAAACATCCGAGCTCATCTGGACTGCCAGGAATTGGGGCAACGAATCCTTCCCTGCCCCTCCTACACAGGTTGGCGACAGCTTTTACAAGGAACAGCACACACAGATGTTGCATCAAGATACATTCTGTGTCATTGATGCGCACCACCCAGAGAACCAGATCACAAACATGCAAGGAGATTGAAGGGGCATGCATGTAAGCATTGTTGTACCTCTTGAGCTCAGGTTTTGGGGTTCAGTGCCTTGCTCATGGCCCCCTTGTCTGCAGTCTCAAAGCAGACTAACATCTCTCCGACAACGTTTTACAATTTTTGCCATAGCCTCGCTCTCCAGTTCCAAAACCCATGTGTGAACCACTACTGACCATCTCACTGGTAACATACAACTCACATAAAACCGACACATAGACACACTGAGTTCCTTAACTTGTGGTTAGGTGCTGGCTTACAGCCCTTCTAATGTTCCCATTACATTCCCCTTTGCCTTCTTCCAAAACATCCGAGCTCATCTGGACTGCCAGGAATTGGGGCAACGAATCCTTCCCTGCCCCTCCTACACAGGTTGGCGACAGCTTTTACAAGGAACAGCACACACAGATGTTGCATCAAGATACATTCTGTGTCATTTCCAGAACACAGCTAAACCCTAAAGGCATGACCTCTTAAACCCGGCGTCTCAGCTAACCAGTGTGAGAGCTTTATTGTTTACCAAAGAGTGCAGTGTAAGGACAAAACTGCCTTGAATTGACTTGTTAACTCCTTAATAGAATGCATGGCCATTATTTAGAATCCAAATAAATAGAATTTTAACAGAAAAGTAGTTCCTACATGAAGAAGAAAATGTGATATCAGTGAAAGGCAATTATTCATTCATTCTATCTCATGTGAGTTGGTGACATGCACAAAAAGAGACAAAAGAGCTGAGATTAATCCACTTTCTTTCGTATTTAGCAGGAACAAAGTGGCAAGAAAGCATCGTCGACTCTCTTTGCAATGGCTTGTTTTTCCTTTTGCTGAACTAAAGATCTGTTCCAAGTTATTTTAACAAGCTCAAGGTTCCAGTTGTAGTGCGTAAAATCACTTCCAGGTTTTAGAAAGACTCTCCAGCAGGGTTTGACTGTCTTCACTTTCTTGGCGTTATCCCACATACTTGCCACTGACCCAGCTGCATCAGCTAAATATTGTATCACATAAAATTATGTGATATTTCCCAAAATAATACATACATTGTAAAATTGGTTTTTGGATATGTTAACATCTGGGTATGCATGCACGCTGTGGTTATGAAAAAGAAAAAAAAGTTAAATCAAGCTGCTCAAATCTCATAAACATTTCATATGATTCAACTTTGTAAAGATATTTGAGTCCATATCATCATTTTGCTTTAATCTCCCATCATCTCACTTGGTACTTTCATTAGCTGTCAAGGTCAGCAAGTCATATTTTGTCAGGTTATTTCATTTTGTCATTTCTTAACTGCCCCAGATGATAATTGTGGCACAGTTGCATACTGTTACAAATTTGCATTTTTACACCAAACGTACGGCCCGCCTCTGAAAGGTTATCTTTGTCTAATTCATTGATTTCAGTATTAATCCAAATAGGTTTGGTTTCAATTTCAAAGAATATTTTACCACATGGCTTCCTCAGTTATTACACATTTCTGTGAACAAAATTGCAAAATTGACAGTGACATTTACAGCAAACTGTCACTTACATTTGGAGCGGTTTACAGTAAATAGTCATAAATTAGTCACATAGATGTAAGCATTAAATCTTGGCCTCATTCAAAAGTAACTGATACACTCATGTTTCATCTTTTTTTACACTGCACCAGGGATGCTAGAGAAGCACTGAATATAATATAACTGTAATTTTAGTCGCTCCACGACCGCTTCCTTAGCAAATGTTCTGTGGATTTATAAGTCTTTGCTTCGCTCTTGCTCTGCAGGTCCTTCATGTGAAGGCGGCATTGTGTACGCTTTGGAGCACGAAACCTGTCAGGAGCCTGAGAAAAGGTTCCATTTGCACCCCGTAAAACAGAAACTCTTGATCTTCCTCTTCCTGCAGCACACTGACCCGTTTGCTTCACAGCTCTCGGACTTCATGGGTGAGGGACTGCTGGAGCAAACACCAACTAGATTTTTAGTCCGTCTTCTCCAGCAGAGGAGAAATTGAATTTGAGGATTCGCTTATCATGTCATTTTAGTCACTGATGCCCTTATTGAGCGCCACCTGGAGGACATTCTGATCAACAACAGGCGGGCAGTCACAGGAGTGCTGCAGATGGAGTTAAGTAACACACTGAAGGCTCAAGATCGCAGAAAAAGGGCAAGTAAAGGCTTAGAAACAACAACACACACACACAACTGCCAGAGTGTAAAGAGTAAAAGTGTGAGTGTATTCGTGTGTGTTTGTGGAAAGAACCAAAAGAAACTCCTTTCGGCTGCTGAGATCATTCTCAGCGCATCCATCAGTATTGTGAGCTGCAGCACCAACCTCAACTTCAGAAAAGACTGCCTGAGTCGCATGCAGGTGACATTTTAATGCCTGGAAGCTGTTGTACCTTTCCAGATGACTACAATGCATTAACGTTACTGCAGGTGAGTGATACTCATGACCTGACGGCCTCTCTCCGTGACGCCTTGCTGAGGGTGATATCATGGAGATCTGTCCCCAGGAAAGGGTGCTACTCTGCTCAGGTACCCAGGAGGCTTGTTCAGTTTGCGTCAACATGCATGTGATGAACTATGCTATGTGCTAATTGCATTGTTTGTTCACTTGCCAGGTAGAAAAGGTGTCTAGAAAGTGCCGATGATACCAGAACAGAAATCTGATGCCCGGCTGTGTGTTTAAAAAAAGTTTGCTCCTCGTTGAAATGTACTTGAACTAAATATGTTCACCTTTAGTTCATACCTTGGGATGTTTCAAATTTGAAATCCATGTTCAGTAAAAAGCCCTCTAAATTAAGCATTGATTGTCAACAGTATATTGACAATCAGTGTTGAAATGTCCACATTCATATGCTGTATTTACTCTGTATGCACATCAAAGATTAACTTGGCCTGAATAAACTCCTGACTGGCTCATTGACCTAAAGTGCATCAACACTCTCATTTTTCTTCCGTAACCTGATCTTACAACTGCAAAGCTGTGTTTGTTTTCAACAACTGCAAGTAAAACCAAATGTGTACATAACTGACTTGGTCGGTTGATTTCCAAACAGCATGCTGTGATATACATGTGCGTAGTGTGCCATGAAGATCAATAAGCTTGATGTGGGAAATGAACCCATTTCGCTGACGGTTTGTCCCAAAATTATGATATATTCATTGAAAATATATCTTTGTTCATCTATCTTTGTGAGTGACGTATCGTGATCGGCAGAACAATGAAATGCCCTTCCATTAGATGGCAAAAGGTACAAGAAACCTGAGTTCCCCTATCCACTTGTTGCCAGAAGTTATGGCTTCCAGCCAAGTCTATCGACTTTATGTTTAATTAAACAGGCCCGTATTTCACATGGAGTAAATTGTGATGAAATTATCATTATTTAACTTTTCATACTCTTTGTCAAATTTATGTTTGGTGGTGTTCCGTGATGTTTTTCTCATGTAAAATGGGTGTTTTGGCTCACTAAATAAATACTGGTATAATACATTGCTCCATTTTTATTGTCATCAATAGTTAAACCATGATTTTTTTATTTTATACACAGTACAGTATATGAAATGGGTGGTTTGAAATGAAATGTGTGATATGCACTCCGAAACAGCAGATGGCGGTAATGCGTCCAATTTCTGCTGTTCAATCGCCAGCACCAAAAGGAAAACAAGCGGAAGGGGATGAAGCGCAAAGGCGTATTTTCGCGGTAAAATAAAACGGTCTTCCTTCTAGTGATGGGAATTCCGGCTCCTTTTAGGGAGCCGGTTCTTTTGGCTCGGCTCCCTAAAAAGAGCCGGCTCTTTCGGCTCCCAAATGGCTCCTCAGTTTTTTTGTTGCTTAAATTATTCCTTCACTTCTGACCAAATATCCTAATGGCGGTTGCTCTCAGAGTGAAATTCAAGTTTTAACCTATGTCGAAGTGTCTATTTCCAAAGGTTGGACCGGTGCAATGACTTCCGATTCACGCAATTGCTAATCGCTTAACCATTACCTCGAATTGTGCCCTTACTTTTCGCCCTTGTTTTCCTCGTCGACTCAAGAACGTACAACAATGTCACAAGTAACATCAGAAGACTTGAGATCAGAACTCGAAATGTTCTGCATAGCTTGTAAAGATGACTCCGCCTTGGACAAAAGTAAGCAGCGAATTTAAGATAATTGTTCTCCACTCGTTACGCTGGGTTGCGACCATTTGTTTTCTGCTCAGTTATTGTTTGCAGTTTTACATTAACAAAATATTTCAAGTGTGTTGTGTGTTTCTTGTATCCCTTAGTGGTAGAGCAATGCGTTTGCTACAGGATCCAAGCAGATGAGTGGGTTTTGGAGTGGGTTGCATACAGCACTACTAAAAATGGACTGTTGCTTTGTGTGGACACCCTGGAACAATTTGAACACGAGGTAATTACAAGAAACAATTCCGTAAATAACGCGCCTGATCTTTTTTTTGTCGTTGTCATTAGGTTGATGATTTTGAAACGTTGTTCGTTATCTGTATAGGTGTTAAACAAGAAGATTAAATCCAAACAAAGCTTCAAGAGAGAAGAGCGAAACAGACCTAGAGACATTAACACAATACAGGACATGTATCCTTTTTTTTTTTTAAAGAAACCGATCCCATCAATTTTTTTGGATTGACATGTCAGGCCATCACATCACAGACCTTAACTTGTTCTCCCTTAAGAATAAAAGCTGAAGAAGAAGAGGATAATCTACTGGACTGCTACTCTACTCCTGCTAAGGTTAGTTGTCACTTTAATATTTTGCTGTACTTGAAATTGTTTTCTTTATGTGTCCACTTAGTGTCTGTGTCATGCACTCCCTGAGTTTGTGCGCTTGCATGCAGGGCTCCCAGAAACGAACGCTAACCACTCCAGAAAATCCTCATTCAAAGAGGAGCTCAACCTTGTTGGCCAGTCCCGGTGTCCTGCTATCTCCTTCGTCCTTTTCTCCCAGGTACTCTACCATAAACAGTCTTCATCCACATTCAAAAAGCTAAACAGTGACAGCAGAGGCGATATCAACGGAGAGGTGATGTGCAGATTTCCATCTGGGTGTTTGAAATTCTTCTTAGTGTTTCATTATTCCTCAAGTAATAATCTTAATTCCGCGGGCATTACAAAACAACCTAAAATGACCAGTTAAAAAGCAAATTGGTGTACTAATGAAGTAAGAGTTATTTTAGGAAATTATCTGCAAAACCAAAACACTGTAGAACATTGTGCTTATAAAATAATATACATCACTATTCTCTTTGTCATTCTAGGGCAAATTGATGTAATAATAACAATGATTGATCTTATTTTCATTGCTTACAAAGTGCAAATGCTTTTTGCCAAACTTTGAGTTTAAGGAAGAACCAAATTTAAAGTGTCAACCAGCCACTTGATCTGAATATTGTATACATTCTGTATACAGTATGTTAATATCTCTAATTCAAACACACAGACAGTGTTTTTTAATTACGCGTGGCAATAACGTGACATCATCTTTACTGGACGTCTCCATGAAATGAAGAGAAGGAAAAGCGTTGCTTCATTTCCCCATAATAATTCCACTGTCTCCCGCATCGCTCCCCTGTCTGTATAAGATGATAAAAAATGAGCCCCTACAACGTAATTGCGTGTGTCACTTGACGTCATGCTTTGTGCGCCTTCGTGTCACATCACGGACGCGTTTAACTAACATTAGATGATGCATATGTTTTATCATGTGAATCAGAACATAAAAATAGTGGATTTAAAAAAAAACAACACAAGTTGACATCATGCCCTGCAGTGTGAGCATAGCCTGTCTAACCATGACATTTGGCTGCCGAGATAAAAACTACATGTAAATGTAATATTCTGCACCTCACCTTTGCGAAGAGCTTTGAAATCTGCATCAAATACCAGAATCGCGGATCATATGTATCTTTGTGTCACTACTTATCCTAAAGAATAGTTCACATGCCCGCAAAGTGTTTGTTGTTTGTTTGTTTGTTTGTTTGTTTTTTCGCTGTTGATTTTAATCTGAATTTTGAAAATTTCTAATATAATGCAGCTTTTTTGATGTTATGAATTATAGTCATCATTTTGTATTTGTTCCACATTGAATTCAACCCAAGTATTTAAGTAGCCTACAACCTCAAAATTGCCGTGTATAGAAATTGACCTTTATTGCCCTCGTCACTGCAGTGCCACTCCCTCACAGAAGTACAGCCAACGTGGAGGGAAAGGAGAGGTGGTGGTCTCATTTGGGGCTGTGCAAGGTCCACGTTGGGCTGGCAGGAGGGCTTCTGATGCAGCGGTGCAGCTGGAGCTGCTGGAAGGGCCGGAGGATTCCCTCCGTTGCAGCTACAAGTACATGTTCCAGAGACTGCGTGATATCCGGAATGGTGAGGGAAAGAAATCGAAAGGAAACCTTCACGTCACAATGTATACAATAGCGCTCATATTGACCACATCAACACCTATTGTAGATTGTAGGGATGAGCGAGTACCGTTATAGGTATCAGCACTGGGCCACTCCCGGCCTTATTTCAGGGTGTCAGGTACTTATGAAGGATGCTGATACCAGCCAATGATGCGCTCGGCAAAACAAAATGGACATTAAGTCTTCCGTGCCAATATATGGTGCTACACAAAGGCTGTTTGACACATCAGTAGAAAGGTCTTTGTTCACAATTACCTGTCATTGTGTTAATTGAGATTTTAGATGTAAGTACTACTGGATGGTATGACGATATATATTTCGAAGACGATAGATAAGATTTTATAGTGTGAATTGTTCTACTATTGCGTTATCGTCATTTGTTATCTGCTGCAAACTGCACGTAATTAATATGTCAAGTGCAGTTTGATTTGATGAGCAAAAAAGTTCACTTTTCAATCTCATGCTGCACTGCCGTCACCAGCTGACAGTCTGAACAACAATTCAATGAAGTGAATCACAATACATAGTCACCGTACATAACTTTATACGTTGGTGCATCTCGTATCTTTTTTTTACAACATGATACTCGCATAAACCTATTCTTGTTTGCCTTTTTCAAAAGTGTTGACTGAGAAGATTGAGGATCTGGGAGAAGAACTCAGGTCTCACTTCAACATTGAAGACTTTTCTCCAGTCTCACTGCCAGCACAGGTGCAGCATAGTAACAAGCACACATTGTGGATTAAAAAAAATGTTCTGGCATGTTGTAATTTATTATTTATATATTTGCTGTAAATTGTCTTCCCAAGGCGCCTTGTCCTTAATCTCACAGGATGCCCCCCCTCCCCCCCAATCAATTGCTCATCTAATATACAGACTGGATTTGCAGTTATATGCACTCGTTTGGCACTTCATTTGGAACACCCACCCAATGGAATGTGCGCCAACCTGAGTTGTGTAAAAAGGGAAAAAAAATCCTCTTTCAAGATAATGCTCAGTGATGTTGAACTTCACTAGCATTAAAAAAAAAAAAAGTCAATTCCTAATATTTTGGAGGGAAAAAGCTAAAAAGCTACTGCTGCAATTGATGCTACACAGTTCAACACTACAGTATAGGTGTCAAAAATAATGAACAACTATTGTAATACTTGAGAAACGTTGTTATACTTAAAATTGTCCTCTATCAGCGGTAATATTTCTGTTTTTTGTAGTCTTTCATGAAAGCAGACTGTCTTTTGTGTTTAATCAAAATAAGACGCTTGCAAACATCTGCTTTTACTTTGGGAACACAACGAACGAACCAGTCACTGAAACAATTTCAAATTGTTGGCAAGTAAGACATCATTCTCTCTTGTGTGATATTGCTTCATTGTTGTCTTGTGTTGTTTTTAATCACTAAACGGTGCCAAATAGGCCACATAAATTGGTTAATAAACAGTTTTCAGGAGATATTTACTTTTAATACAAAATCCAATTTTATTTGGTTGATCGGTGGGATAATCAAATCTAAAAATTTGAAATGGTGATACCCCTACACCACGGCAAACAACTATGAAGAAATGTTCAAAAAAATATCTTGATTTTTTCAAAATAAAGCATGATCTTTGAACCAGGACATTGTTAATCGTGACCTCTCTGGCATCATTAAATTACGCAGGCGTAAATGTTTCGGTACATCATTGCTGCTTCCCTCACGCTGTATTTGTCCTTTTCGTAGGACCGTATTTCAGTTTTGGGTCAGGTGTGCTGTGACAGTAATGGCAAATTGAACGCACAGTCTGTTTTGTTGGAAGCGGGACAAGAGCAAGGTGGTCAGCAAGTACGTGTGGACCTGTCAGAGCTCCAGGAGTATTCCCTGTTTCCTGGCCAGGTGAGTTCAATCACAGCTACTATAAAGGGGTTTGTTGAAGCACTTTGCCCTCCTCGTGACTGTGATGATTGATGACTAAACACTGTTTGGTGGTTTCTCCTTTGCCTTTGCACTAAGACGGTGTGCAGCAGGTTATATGGGCCACCTAAAGTAACAGAGTTTGCCAAGGAGCTGGTTTGAAGACACAGCCAGCGTCCGACCGAGAGCTCACACAGCAATAATTCTCACATGGGAATCAATGTTAACTGAGTAAAGTGTGCACATAAGGTGTTTCCAACTCATAGGACAGTTCTGCTTTTTGTTTTCCATGTCAAAAAATACACTGAACGGTTTCTAAGTGCTAGGGCTGTGTACAAATCGCTGGAGTTTCGAGTGGGTGTTGAATCCCAAATTTCCCCTTGGATCAGAAATTAAATCTTGTACCGGTAATACTGTTGTGTGCACTGTCTTTTTAAGAGAGCTCTGTGGGGAGTGTGCATGCTTTTCGTGGTGGCAAGTGGGTTCGTCAAGCTGTTAACACATTACTTGGTTCCTTCGAACATAACTTGTTACATGTGTATGTTAATAGTTTGCCAGCTAAAGGGCTTTAAACTCAATTGTTGAGCAGTACAGTTTAAATGAAGCCCATCTGCGCAGTGTTTCAAACCTCTGTCGTTAGTGTGGCAACGTAATAAAAGCCGGTTGCTCCAGAGAGAACGTCTCCTCAGCGAGTTCAATGATTCTCAACCAGTGTACCGTGGCACACTTGTGCGCCATGGGAAATTGTCCAACTTCGATTCTTTTGACAAAAAAAGTATATGTATTCTAAATAAAAATGTTTCGTTAATTTCTCAGTGCCACTGATATCTCGTAACAGGCAAAACAACGAATCAGTGTTTTTTCTTGCTCAAATTGGGGCTGAGGTGTTAGCATTCTGACCATGCGCCATGACGTGCATGATGTCAAAATGTGGTTCACTGTATATGGATACTGTTATGTAGCACTATACTAAATACTTCTCTTTGTTGAATTCATTGTTTGGTTCAACACATATTTAAAGTGACACTATTTACCACCATCATGCCTACAGAACCTCTTTTGGACAAAACAACCACATCAGCGTTTACTGTTCCAAAATTGTAACATGGCAAGCTGGAGTGGACTGGACGGCTTGGTGGACAAATGTTTTGACAAACACTCCTGAGCTTTCTAAACATTTGCCGTTCTCCAGGTGGTGGCAATGGAAGGAATGAACACAACAGGAGGGAAACTGGTGGTTTCTAAACTCTATGAGGTCAGCTTGCGTTAATACCCTATACGACATCTTCAGCTTCATCGTTTTGAAACCGTAGCTCATCTCCATCAATGTGTTTGGATCATGGTGATGTTTTTCCTCTTTTCCAGGGAGTCCCACTTCCCTTCTACTCATCAGCAGGGAAAATGGAGCCGGCTGAAGGTAGGGAAGGATGCAGGAGGTTATCGGTTGCTTTGTTGTTGTTGACAAAGTACAGCTCGGCCACCCCTAGTTTCACCTTAATCGTGAATCTAAATTAAAATACTATTTATAATTCTCTGTCGTGATCCCGTGCAATTCCAGAGCCCGTCAGTGTGCTTGTGGCTTGTGGACCTTACACACCTTCTGACAGCCTGAACTTTGAACCTCTCCTGGACCTGATCCATGTTATTGGAAGGGATCGCCCTGACATCTGCATACTTGTAAATCCTCTTTCATCTGGGTTACAGCGCTTGCACATCTTCAAAAATCAATTTTTCACATGAATGATTAACTGTTGAACCTGTATTCTTTTCTGCAGCTGGGCCCTTTTGTTGACTCTAAACACGAACAAATTGAGGTACACTCAACTACTAGATGTCATTTTGCATAGTCAAAGAAAAAAAACATGGCTATTTACATTGGTCACATCATGTTATTTGCTCCATGTACAGCACTTTGTATACAGCAGTGGTTGTTTTAAAGTGCTCTGTAAATACAGTTGAGTTCTCAATTTCCTCAAACAGAAATCCCAGGTGACTGAGCCTTTTGAAGCCATTTTCTCGAGATGCATCGAAAGCATCGTGGAAGGCACAAAATCGTATGTTTCATTATCTGTCCACACTCAACATCATAAACCTTTTAAACAGCATCCACGACACTATATAAATATCTTGTTGAAGTGCAGTCAGTTGTTTGCAAATCTGCCTCCTAGTTGAAGGCTTAGCATGTTCTACCTGTGCTTGCCTGCGTTTTCTCTACATTAAGGAATGCCTCAAATGAGTCTCAGAAAGTTCTTAATGTAAATTGGTTAATCCGAATAAAATGAAACTGGACATCTTTATTTTTTCCGCCCACGTCTTTCTAATTGGAAAATGCCAAACAGTAAGAGTTCAACACTTGTAAAATAAGAGCCCCCACAAAATCCTTTATTAGTCCCATGTTGAAGAAGTAAACACATCACAGCAACGAAGCACGCAGTATAAACTAATTAGATATCAAAATAATTGAAAATAGTCTGTCTGAATTAGCATTCAGTTTTCAAGCACAGCTTCCAAATGCTTGTTTCCTTGTTGCAGTGTCGGCTGTCGCCTGGTGTTTGTTCCCTCCCGGAGAGACGTCCACCATCATTACATCTACCCACAGCCACCCTTCACCATGCCCAACCTCAGCAAGAACCCTGTGAGATACAAATCTTTGTCTTAAAAAAAAAAAGTCTTCTTTATTCAAATATAGACAAACCTAAAATCATTTTAATCCCTGCAGCGCGTGACCCTCGTTCCTGATCCTTGCACCTTGCTGATTGAGGGTGTGACCTTTGGCTTGACCTCCACTGACATTCTGTTTCACTTGGGTGCGGAGGAGATCAGCTTGTGAGCAGACAGCAGTTTTGATATTGTCGAGTTTGGAAATATAGCATGTTTTTTTGGGCCACATGACCTCTTCTCAGATAGACTATACACTTTTATCACCACTTTTAAAACATGGCATGTTGATCATCTCGAAGACAGTCCACACATATACTTGGAGAGCAGTCAGCACACTTGCTGATTTTTTTTTCCCCCCTTCATTATGTATGCGGCCTCTCACATAAAAAAAAAAAAAAAAGTTAAAAATCAGTCCGGCATGAGTTCACACTGCTTTACACACTTGTCCATGTTGCCTTCACGGCTGAGAATAGAATATTAAATGTATTGGACTTTAACTATTATGTCCGAATAATGTACTATGTAGTCTTTTGCTCCCCATAAATGCTTGTGTTCCATTTTGCAGTGGCGCTGGACCGGACAGATTTTCTCGCATTCTGAAGCACATATTGACACAGAGAAGGTAGGGAGGGGGAGTGCGCTGTCCAACCTATCAATCATCCTCGCTGTTTTATAAATTAATAATAATTTTTTGTGTTTTCGTGTCAGTTACTACCCGCTGTACCCACCTGTTGAGGATGTGAACATGGACTATGAGAAATTCCAGCGTTTCGGTCAGATGCCACTCACACCGGACGTTCTCCTCATTCCATCTGAGCTGCGCTACTTTGTTAAGGTACAGAACAACCTCATCATAGTGTGTCCTTCCTTTTTTTTTCTTTTCTATTGATGTACCCATCGAAACTCTGCAGGATGTCATTGGCTGTGTATGTGTCAATCCCGGACGCCTGACCAAAGGCCATGTGGGCGGGACCTATGGAAGGGTGCTTATTCAACGCCCCGCCTCATCAGATGACGACAACAAACGAGTCAGCCGCTGCTTGGCGGCTCAGGTGGTGAAAATTTAACTGAAATAAGGACTAATAATACAAATGTAAGCCTGTTTCAAACCAACCAGCTGGCCCTCTGAAAACCATTCAACTGATTTTTTTTTCCCCATAAAGTAACAGGGTAGTGTGATCATCTTTTGACAGACTGTGCTGTTCTGACCATCCAGCAGCAATAAATCGAAAATGTTACCTGTATGAGAGTTTTTGTGTATAAAGTTTATACTCAATGACTGCAACATTAGGTTACACGTACAACATGTGCGAGAATTCTGCCTAAATGTCACCGATTTATATTTGCTCTTTTAGTCTGTGAGGGGTGTCAAGTTGTTCAGCAGTGGATACTACAATGAAATTGTAAATAATGCTGCTATGACATGTCAATCAAAACAAAACAATTATTTTTGAAATGTATTTTTTTAAACCAGTTGTGTATTTGATCTCATTAGAGCCTGAAATGTTTCAAACGAGGCAAGTAAATGAATAGCCTCCCCACACACACAAAGTAGCTAAGTTTCAGTGTTGCCATATTGACAAGCTTGTTGTCAAGGTGTTTCAACTACACGAGACATTTCCGTATCTCTTTAGAACTGACTACTACCAGTATGCCTTTGAGCAATTACATAATTTCAACCCTTTTACAAAAAAATGGATGATGCCACTTTGTTTGCAAAGCTACAACAAAATGAGATCGCACATACTTTTTCGGTAGGCGGGCTCCTTATAGGATAAGAGAGTGTAGGAAACTAAACCATAGCAGTCAGTCGTAAAAATGGTCAAACTCATCAGAGTCGCTTTGCCGATCCGTGTGTGTTTCTCCTCGGAAAATCTCCATGTTGCAGATTACTGGAAAGTAAACAAAACCTGAATGAACCTCCACAAACTATTAAGTTTGAATTTTGGCTTAATCTTTGTGATGATACCTTTGGTGGTTATACTTTTCGGTTCTTCGACTGCTTTTCTGACTTTTTCTCTGTAAAATAAAATATGGAGGTGGATTAATTTAACAATGAATGCTTTTTACTGTGCTCCGTCTGTTCTAGTTGACTTACTCTCTTATCTTTGTCTGAGGTTGAGGTGCAAGGAGATTGTCAATGTCATCATCACCCGACTCACTTGAGTCCTCATCAGATGTTCCTGTTCTGCATCCCTCCTTGCTGTTGTCATCTTCAGAACTCTCTTGCAGGATAAAGTGCACCCTGGGCCTGAAAGCACATCTATTTTGTTCACTTCTATAAAGTATAGAAAAAAGCAATTTAATTCAGCCAACTTCAAAGATTCAAATTCAACTTGTTCTGTTGAGGTGAGATGATGATGTCATCAGAATCTTTCTCTTCTGCTCTCTCCTCACTCATTTGCTCTCCTTCATCCGACCTGTCCTCTTCTATATTGTCCTCACTCCCATCACCATCCTCTTCCTCATCCTGAGCTGAATGCTCTTCTTCACTGTTCTTGTTCAGCTCGTCTGAAATGTTGCAACCTTGGTCTTCGTCAGACTCATTCTCCCGCTCATCTTCTGGTGATGTCTCTTCATCCTCACTGGCCTCCTCCATGTCACTCTCTTCTTTCCCATCAATTTTACAGTCTGCCTTTTCATCTTCTTCCAGTCCTTTATTGTTTACTCCTTCAACAGCCTTGTCACTTTCACCGCTTGACTCCTCAGACCGGGATGATGAATTGCACCTGCTGCTGCTCTCTGATTGGTGCAAAGGAGTCTGACTCACTTCACGTTCACTTTGCAATTCACTGATAGAACAGCTTTTTGGGCTTTCACATTCTTGTGTCTCGTTCCTGGTGCGGAGGAGATCAGTGATGTTTCTCCTCATCCTGCTGCTGGTGCTGCCTTTGTGTGATGATGCTTCACTCTCAGATATCTGCGCCATCACAGGTGAGGAAGTCTTTGATCTGGAAACATAAAGAGTCGTATATGCCATTTGATTCAAGTACAGTCCATTTATTTGGGGCAGTGATTCTCAAAACATTTTACACCAAGTACCACCTAAAAAAAACATCTAAATACCACCACAATGACCATCATTACAATAGAATAACACTGAGCTGTTCACTGAGTTTCTACAATGTAAACAAGCAAAACGGAGCCTTAATATAATGATTTTCTGCCATTTCTAACAAAAAAAGGGAAAAGTGGAAAGCCTTATTGGGGGCTCACAATTTGGCAAGAAAATGGTCACTCACTTCTTTTGGACTTAGTTATTCATTAAGGCTTAATGTGTTTACAATTCACAGCATAAACTGTTAACAAGGTAACCTCTTCCTGTCTAGCATCAGAATGGTTTGTGCTTCGGTTAACGGTGACAAGAGGGACAAACTATTCCAAACAGTATGATGATGTCTTGTGGTTCTCCACTAATGTAGGTTCTCCACTAATGTAAAACCACAAGAATAAACAAAAGTAATACCTCTACAATGGTGTGACTGGTGAGCTGATACTTTTTGCTACAGCTCTTGTACTGGACTAAGTGATTGCCTGATGAATGTCTTTTTTTAACTCAAGTTTGATTAGAATACACAACCAGGGCTTTCAGTGAAAGGAAACGTGGGTATTCATATGATGGGAGAATAGGATTGTTTAGTGTGTTAAAAAAAAAAAAAAGTCTTACTCCAGCGAACTGCTTATGTCTCTCTCCGAGGAGGTGTTTGTTTTCCTCCTCTTCTTCTCACTCTTAACCTGTCTGTTCCCCGTGCTGCTGCTGCTGCAGCTGTCTCTGTTTTCACCATGCTCACTGGACAGACGGACTATTTAACAGAGAATGACAAACACACAAGGACACAAAGATACGTATATAAATGTGTGACGCACAAAAAGCAAAGCCTTGTAAGTTAATTGATCACACCTGGTTTAAAATCCAACTCCTGGGATAGATGAATGTTCTTCCTCCTTGAGCTGCCGCTTGTCACTGCGTCCTCTGGATAAGACACCACAGAGGAGTGGCGCCCGTCAGCCTGATTGGTCGCCCATTCTGGTAGATTTTGCCTAGCCCTGCATTGACGTGATGGAGTGGCAATGAGGTGCTGGAGCTGGAAGTTCTGAGGACATGGATGTAAAGTTGGAGGCAATACGGAAGCGGTGATGGTCTGGTCTGAATGGGACTGAGAGGAAAGTGAGTCAATGTAGGGAGGATAAGAACGCCCGAAGCCATTGTACCCTTGGGTAACGCTGTCTATCTGTGGCTTTCTGCCATGACCTATGCAAAGATAGCACACGTTGCAAATGACATACTACAGTAACAAGTAATGATGCACCCACCTATTTTCTATACTTACCCTGTGAAAATAAATATTTGCCAACAGAAGATGCGGACACAATTTCTTCCTCTCTATCCATGCACTCTTCCATCCTCTGTTGGAGAGACATACCTGTGCAGTCATATCACACTACACACATTCAATATAATGAACAGCAACAACTGATACAATGTGGACTGGGACGGCAGTACTACACCCTGTGAGTAAGTGATTCAACTACAGGTACTAGCAAATAGGAGAGGGCAGTAATGGGTTAATACGTTGATGATTTTCCTTTTCATTTAAACTAATAGCTTTTAAAAGTTGCAAAAGATTTTTCATGTTCAGTTCAGGGGGGGATTTAGCATTAGCGATTGCCTGGGGCCTCTGAGATCTACTGACAAAACAGTCAAGAGTTGTTGAATTTAAAGCAATTATTTTTAGAACCAGGATTGTTTCCACTGCCCCCACCCTTCTCATGCAATGGACTATTGCATCTTCTTATTGCAGATGTGCAATAAGAACAAACAACCTTGTTGGGGCAATGTGAACAAAACAAAAGGGCGGTATATCAGTGAAGAGGAGAGAAAAATGTAAAAGCTGTTTTTATCAAAACTACCAAAGGTTTCTTTTTTTTTTTTTTTTAATATATATATCAAATACAAACATACATAACCGGCAGGACCAAAAGCCAGATGGTCTTGTCGGTAACACTTGGTGTCAGCCAGGGAGGATACAGTAGAGATGAAGTGGTGAGTGACACGAGTGACGCTTTTCATAACGAAGATGTGAGTAGGTAAGCAGTCAGAAATGGTCAATTATATGTTAAATGTTGATTGCTGTTCTAAACAATTACAAGTAATCTGTTAAAATGATTCATTTGTTAGATATTAATCCTCAAGGATTTTTTCTTTTTTTATTTTTATTTTTTTTACGTTTGCAGTGCATGGTACAGTTTTTACCTGACTTTTGGGAACTGGTGTTTTATCTTGCAGTTGTTTGTGCCTGTTGGGAGAGCTCTCAATCAGAAATGGTTCATACTCCATCTAGAGGGGTCAAACCATTGATCAGGATTTTTAAAAAAATGTTTAAAAAAAGGCCTCTTTGATGTTTTCACAGCCTCTCTACCCGAATCGTCTTCATGGCAGCAGTGGCTGCCATCATCTCTCTCAGTGTGTCTTGAGCCCTGTCAAACTGCTTCAGCAGCTCCTGGTTCTGATGTCGGGCAGCACGCTCTCTATCCTTCAGTTCCTGCCAACGTTGACGCAGATGTATCATGTGACTGAAGAGAACATGAAAAGACAGTTAAGGGAACAAGAATATAACTAACTCCCCCACAAGTGTGCAACAATACACAAAATAAAGTTCAGCTACTTATGGCATTTGGTGCCTCTGAGATGAAAATTCATATTCTAAAGCAATTGGCTTTTGGGCACCGGACAGTGGAAGCAGTGTGCAACATGATGAAAGATCATTGTGGAAGTAATACCGTTAAAAATAAATAAATCCAGAGCCAACAGCTGTTACCCCTGGGAGAAATCATGGATCTTACCTTGTTTTGTGAATGTTTCCTGTCATATTTCTATAAATGCTAAAAGTGTTTACATTCCGGCCATTCAGATGACCAAGTGACAGTAAATTCTCCTCAGATGCAGCCATGACAGCAGATTTGTAAAGACTGCTGAGATTAAGGTCACATCGGGGGAGGGAGTATCGGGAGGAAATCCGCTTTGTGTTCAGAACATTTGCATATACAGGCATGTGGCCTATGTAATACTGTATATCTGCAGGACTACATACATATACAGTATGTGGGTGTGTATATGGACACACCCAGACACACACACACACATATATATATATATATATATATATATATATATATAGCTAAATCTTGCTAGCAAACGAGAACGCTAACGGCTGTCAAACAAACTGAAAATAAACGCGCACAAACAAAATAAATATTGGAATGTTTAAGATGTTGTTCGGGCGTTGCCATCTTGGAACGGACGGAGCTGTTAATGCCAAAGCTAGCTTTACAGACGTCTGCCTTCGCTAATGCCAAGCTAACAGACAAGTGCGTCAACTACACGCCCGTGACTCCAAGGAGGGCCTTGAATTTCTGCTAACTTTTTGCCATAGTGACTTAATGAGCCTTATAATGACTCACTCTTCTTCTTCTTCTTGTCTTTTTCTTTTCTTTAACTTCTCTGAAAAAAAATCTATTCCATCCAATCCCCTCCGCCCCCCTTCCCCAAAAATGCACTATGAAACCTTTCATCGTGTTGTCTTTCATCCGCATTGCTGCTGATGATGATGATTTTGATGATGATGATGTCATGTTTGTCATGTGACCATGCCCCAATCATGACACATGATGAATATACATTTAAATATATATATACTTTATATATATATATACTTCACTAAAGTCTTGTCAGCAGCAGAATAGCAAGGTATTTAAGTACTAAATGGGTGTTTAAAAAATTAGCTTTAATTTGTTATTTGTTGATTTCTTGTTTGTGTTCTAGATGATCGTTTTTCCATAATTTTATTGACTTATTTATAGTTAGAAAATGGGATTCGGAAAATGTATGGCTATTTATTATTTATTAATTTTTGCTGATATTCAAATTACTCCACTCTCGAAAGCCTGGAACCTTGTAAATGTAACTCTTTCACTAGGGATGTATTTTTACATAACACCAGGACTTCCGGGTGCAGTCCAGGTAGAAATACAGTACCGTAGTGTGCGGCGATGAGACAAGCAATGTCAAACCAAATCCAGTCTTTAATGTGACTTTCTTGTTTTGTTTTGTTCGTTAGATGTGTAGAATGTGCAGGAGACATTTTAATTTGTTTATTCGTTCTAACGCAGATTTTACCCACGACAAACACATTTAAATGGCCTTCTATGCAATCCCAAACGTCACCATAAAGTGCACCAAATGTGAAAGAAATGTCTTTTGGAAATGATGTGATATTCTTATATTGCTGTTGTGCAGATAAGAGATTGGTTATAATTATCAATTTTAAATTTACCCACCACTATCCCGGATGTGACGTCATCTCAACATCAACCAACCCGGCAACTACAACAAACGCCTTATCAAGAGAGGTGCGCACGAATGGCTATTATTTATTATTTGTTATACCTCATATACGCTATTATAATAAATCTGAGCCAACATAAATCCGGTTTACGAAAGCTAACTAGCTCGTTAGTTATTGGAGCTAGCTAGCTTCCGCGGTGCGTGTGTCAAATCAGTTCTTCCGGTTTGTTGACGTCTTATGACAGGCGAGCATTGCCAGGAGGCATGACGAGCTTTGCAGCCACCGTGTTTCGCAAGGTTGAGAGTACGTGCTACCACCTCCCTGTGATCTTCAACACTTTCCTGGTTTTCTCCATTACCGGGGAGGTGAGCTATCTGGTGCTGGTCGAAGCTCCGCTGCAGGCGGACCAGAAGAGGACGGAGTGGTCCTCTCGGTGGAAATCCATGCACCTGCTGGCCCAATACTTTATGCTTTGCAACATTTGCTGGAACGCCGTGCTATTTGTCCGAACTAGCCCCAGCATCAAGGGCGCGTTCCTGGGAGGGGATGGTGTGGGTCATGGATGGAGGTGAGCCGGTTTTGTTGTCGTTAAACCTATTCATTTGAGGTCAGTTTCATGGGCCTCAAGAGTTCTGACGTTGTTGATGTTGTTGTTGTCACCATCTTTACAAAAAAAAAAAAAAATAAATTCTCTTGCGCATTTGGTGCCAGTTGTGTTGTACTGTCAGTTGTCTAATCGTTGTGACATATATGTGTGAATCTAAGAATTGCCATCTAAGAGGAGGCCTGGATGTTTTTAAAAATATCCTACAGGTACTGTTACGCGTGTGAGACACACACTCCTCCACGCTGTTCCCACTGCTACGATTGCAAAGTGTGCGTGCTGCGACGGGACCACCACTGCGTGTTCTTTGGGCAATGCGTGGGGTTCCGCAACTATCGGTACTTCCTGAGCTGCTTGCTGTTCATGTGGTCGGGCCTCCTGTACGCCACGCTGATGAATGCTGAGGTCTTCATCGTCATACTGAAAGAAGGCGTGACTGTGCACAGTGTCCTACTGCTGCTGATACCCTGGGTCATGCTGATTTCAGGTCAGTGGAACCCATCGTTACTAACGCCCTTGGCTGTTTGTCACCTGAAACAATGTTTTATTTCGTTTTATTGGCAAACGCTTCCACAACACGGACCTGCTTCTGCATTCATTCATAACAACGTGGCTGCTCCTGCCATCTGTGATTGGGTGAATTTATTGTACACAAAAACATTGCTTGTAAAAATGGGCGATTGTAAGCAGACCTCGAATTTTGCCTTAATCAGAAATGTATGTGGCCGCTGTGAGAATTGTGATTGAAAGAAGCGTGTTTGTGCATGTAAGCGGAAGTTCTGACTGCCCACATGATACAACAGCTTTCTATTTGCTACCGTAGAAGAGACATTGAGTTTAATGGGGCGTTTGGGAGCATTTACAACCAACCGTAACCTTTAAATTATTCTGAGGTCTGATTAAGAGTGAAAACAACAGCACAACCATCGCAATGAGTTACGCACGGAGCCAGTGATGGTTAAATAGCGTGAGGCGCACAGCATGGATCCATCTGCTCATCTGCGCTGAGACGGTTTGCATCACGAAACATGTGCGTAACTAGAGCTATATTTTCGACAAACATTTTGTACGCAACTTGAAAAGTTTGTACAAACCTAATTCCAATGAAGTTGGGATGTTGTGTTCAACACCAATAACAACACAATGATTTGTAAATCACGTTCAACCTATATTTAATTGATTATGCTGCAAAGACAAGATATTTAATGTTCAATGATCAACACTGTTGTTTTTAGCAAATAATCATTAATTTTGGAGCTAAGCCCTTCAGTGATTTATAGACCAGCCGCATAATTTTAAAATCTATTTTACATCTGACTGGGAGCCAGTGTCAAGACTTTCAGACTCAAATAATATTTTCTAATGTTTTTGTTCTGCTCACAACTGGTGCTGCAACGTTCTGAATGACTTGCAGTTGTTTGATGCTCTTCTGTTTTCTCTGAAGTTTTGTCGTACCAAATGGACTGAGTCATGCTCATAGTCCTGGTAATGTCAATGTCCCTCTCATCCACCAGGTCAGGTCTCGGCACATGCCTTCGCCTTTGCCTTCATTGCCGACACATGTGTCGTGGGCTTCCTATTGGTCTCTGCATTCTTCTTCTTCCATCTCTTCCTGCTTTTCCGGGGACAAACCACAAGGGAGTGGTACTCATCTCGCCGCCCCTATAACCTTGGACTCCTGGAGAACTTGCGTCACACCTTTGGCAGTTGCTGGTACCTTTGCTGGCTCTGCCCACTTATCCCGTCACCTCTACCTGGGGATGGGATACACTTCCAGGTGACGGGATCACTCGAACCTACCCGGTAATAACTCCGGGGGTTGGCTCTACTCAGCAAAGACATTACTGAATAGTTTTTGTAAATGCTAGATTCTTTGAATATTCCCTCAGAAAAAAAAAACATTGTTTTCCAAACCGGAATACTTGGCACTGAATTGGTTGACTGAATGCACTGTTTGTGTTTATAATGATTACTGTGTGTTATGGTTTTATGACTATTGCCACTGCCCTCAAGCACTCTTTGTCATCATTTTGCACTAATGGTGGTGGCTGCTAACCTGCCAAAAATTAATCCCAAGTATGCCGTTAGCGCACATCATGAAACACCACGACCCTTAGACAGGAACTGTTTTTGTAGAAAATCATCAAGAGAACATAGAGTGGGGGAAATCAGACCAAGGGTGTCACTTGTGAACCACCTCATACCATTTATTGCATGACTTACATTGTTTACCAGAGATTGATGAGTACAAGCCTTTGGCCCCACACCATTGACGAATCAGCAATCCATCAGCTCCAACTGCACCACTTGCCTTATTAAATCCCATTTTTTAATCGCACTTATCTGTTTTTTCCCCTCCCTGTAGTAAATCAGTTTTTGTGACGTCTGGAAATTACTTTTTTACAGCCCAAAATATTTTCTCAATATTGTACAAGTATTCCCGACAACATGTTAAAACATTTGCAATTTACGTGGGTATTTGGCCTTGCTGAAATAAACTGTCTCAATCATTTCATTTTACTGTCTTTGGCAGTAGTGTGGTTTTTTTTTGTTTTGTTTTTTTGTATATGAATAATTTAGTCGTCATCGAATTGTTTCCAAGGTCCATCAGTGGTCGTGAATTGAAAGAATCCACTTTTGCTGCTTTTTTGGGCGTTGCCAATTAAAACTTAGATTTAAAAGAATGCAGTTTGTTGATTTTTGTGTCACCACGGCTTTAGCACGATGGCACCAAGTATTTTTCTTCAAGAATTCAAGCGGTGCTTTATTGACGGACCCTAAAAGAAGCCATCGCGCCCGGGCGCCGCTCACAATCAAAATTGGATAAAACAGAGAAGAAAAGTGTGGTAAGTATCTCTCAGACCTAAAGTATTAACATTTTGCTTGAATCAAATTCATTTCATGAGAGTTTTGTGAGGAATTAGTCAATTGTTTCTACGCGAGGGTTAATCGCCCACTTTTAATACAGTTGCTAGTGCTAACTCGATTGAAGACTACAGTATGCTAAACTAAACGTTATTATTGTTATGCTGCCACCAGCTTAGTGTGCAGCAGTATTTGCTGTTGTTAAAACATTTGTTATTTCTGTTGTGTTTGTCTCATTTTTCATTTATTTCCCCATTGCCAGGCATAAGAAAATGGATGTGTCAGATGAAAATATGTGGGTGATTTTAAATGTACATAATGAACACTTTTTTTGTTAGAGCTGATAATGTTATCACTATACAGATTTGTTTTGTATGTCTGTTTTTGTGTGCAGGACAGTGAAGGAGATGCTTGAGAAAATCGCTGAACTTGATCACAATCGGAGTCAGCTGAAACTTTTAAACTCTGAGATGAGCCACCTACTCGATGCAGCAGATGATGAGATGACCTTGCTACGATCCGAAAATGAAGGGTTTAGAAGACAAGTGAAAGCGTAATTAATTATATATTGGTGTTCAGAACAACTGGTGCCGTGGCTATCAGCCTAAATGTTGAAATTGAACCCGTGTTTCATTGTTTTCCTTGCACAAATTTTCCTGCTGGTATGGACCAACGGTTTTGATTTGCACTTATCATTTGTAACATACACTTGCCAAACATCCATCTTTCGATTCTCTGAACCGCTTATCCTCAACGGAGGTGTCAAATCCAGGTCCAGAAAGCAAACATTTTGTCACAGTTTGGCTTTAGCCACAGGTGCTTCTAATCAACTAGCAGATAAATACAATAAACGAAAGAAGAAGCGCCTGTGGCGAAAGCCAAACTCTGGCAGGGGTTTTAACTCTCTGAAACTGGATTTGCCACCTTGAGCGACACTAGGGTCGCATAAGTGCCAGAGTCCATCCCAGCTGGGAGAGAAGTCCAAGTAACTCCAGCACACACACCCATTTCCTGGTTTTAAGCGAGCGAGACAGAGCCACCCGTCGACCACGAACAAGTCCTAAAAATACAGTATACTGTATACTATATACATTACACAAATATTGTGTTGTGCAATAATATTTACAATATTTACTGATATTTACAATTTCATATGTACGGAAGGATGAAATAGTGAAGCTTGTGATAAAACCTTTAGCGAGCAGCATGCGCCATTCCCTGGGTCTATTCACTTGAATGAGAGGTCTCCAGGTCTCTAAAAGTAGGGCAAGGCGCATCCTGTGGAACCTTCCAATGGTCTTGACTGCAATGAAGACACCCTGAATTGGTTGCCAGCCAATCGCAGTGCACATATTGATAAGCAAGCATTCACCCTCACATTCACACCTCCGGCCAATTTCGAGCCTTCAATTAACCAAACATGTATATTTTTGGAATGTGTGAGGAAACTGGGGCACCCAGAGAAAATTCACACACATACGGGGAGAACATGCAAACTTCACACAGAAAGGCCGCAGCCTGGATTCTAACCCACGACTTTTGAATTGTGAAAGGGGTGTGCTAATCATTTGGGGACAGCTTTTAATACAGTTGCCACCTACAAATACATTCATAAACATAGTTCAATGCATGCCTTTCTGACAGTGTCACTCAGAACTTAACTACTGTATTTCCTGTATTACAATTAACCCCTTTCATGCACTCTGCAACCTGATAAAATGATAAGCTGTCCACTGTAGTAACCGCTACACGTTCTATGTCTGTAGGTTGGAGCAGATTGTCGTAGATGGTCAGCACGTGGAAGCACAGCCTTGCAGCTCATCACTGCGGGATGACCTCGACGTAAAACAGTCCACTGAAATTACGCTGCAAGTACTGGTAGGTTACACCGTGTGTTGTTGCCGCCTTTGGAGCATTTGTAAAAGCATTCCTGTTGATAAGATAAGGATTCGAATTTTATCTTGAATTCTGCTCATATCTGATTGACGCTTTTTGTTGTTTTTTCCTTGTCCGCAGGAGGAGGAATGCAATGCGATGAAGGAACGAAATAAGAAACTGATTGCAGAGGTCTGACAACTCTTCTTCTCTCTATTTCTAGTCATCAATGTGCTGTTAGGCAACTTGCAAAAAATCAGTGAGCATTAGAAATTGTCTGCGGCACTGTTGACATTTTATGATTTGTCAGGTTCAGATGCTCCAGCAGCAAAGAGAACAGGACAAGATGAGCTTGAGCGAGTTCAGCGCTGCCCTTAAAAACATTGAGGTACAGTCTGGCTGAATGCAATTTGTTCACTTGCAGTCGCGTTATCTCTGCTTCTCTTAGTCTTTCGAACATTTGAGGGAGACTTTGTCCTTGCTACTCTGTTCTATTTGTCAGTTTAGAACAGAAGAAGCTCAGCTAGAACTTCAGCAAAGGGATGAGGTCATTCAACAGGTACAGTATGTCAAGACAGGCAAAATCCCTGTCATAAAGCAACAATTTTATTTAAACGCTTATCTTCGTTAGCCGTCTGCTATTTTGACTACAGTTGGCATTATGATGTCACATTTATTTGTCTGTGGTAGAGTAAGTTGCAATTAAAGCAAGCGGAGGAAACAGTAGAGGAGTATACCAACGTCATCAAGGTAAGGACGGTCGGACTTGTCTGTCTTCTGTTAAGGTATTGTACCACAGATCTTGCGATGGAGAGATACATGGTACGCTTGGTCTCGATGTCAATTCTGGCACCCGAAACGGCTATGTGGTGCCCGTTGCCAGTGTCTTTAAGGTCCCGGCTGGCGTAGTGAATGTCGGCAAAACCGCACAAACAAGCAGTGCATGAACAAGCAATGAAAAAAAGAGCACCGGCGAAGAGGATAATGTTCAATAATTACAGCCCTAGCTGAAATCTTGGAGTTGTGTGTTTTTGAGGAGCTCAGACGGGCAAACCAGGAGCTGCGGAGTCACTTAGAGGACAGAGAGGATGAGGCCTCGCTGTAAGTAACTCTCCAAATACAGTGGTGCCTTGAGATATGAGTGGCCCCTACTGATGTCTTTTTCGAGATATGAGACATCGTTTGGCCAATTTTTGGCTTTGACTTGCGAGTAAAATTTGAGATGAGAGCGCTGTATGGTGGCAGTCAACACACTTCACGCAGCTTGGTAGATCACCAACATTCGAGTGTCACAGTCCGGCTCCAAGCCTGTGGCAAAGAATAAGGGGACACAGACAACAACATAGGCCAGTTGAAGAATTTATTGTAAACAATAAGTAACTTTAAAAAAGAAAAAGGAGTATGGGATGTGAGTGTTTAAATCTCTGAATTGTGTCCAACATGCATGGATGAATGTAAGTCTGATCTACACCATCTGGAGCTCAAAGCCTCAAATTCATGGTGCTGCCAGGCCCGCTGGGAGCCAATTTCTTGTTCAGTGTCTTGTGCCAGGACACTTTGACAGTGGACAGTCTGAGCCAGGGTTCGAACCAGCAACCTTTCGGTCAATGGAAGACCCCCTCTACCACTTGGGCTGCAGCCTTAGTACAAAATATGACAATAGTCACAGGCACATTTTCTGCATTCTTTGTGAAGAATGACAAATACTACTGCACCTTACTGAGGAGTTGTGACCTGCTCAGCGTACGGAAATGTATCAGTATGTCTCTATTATACTACTCCCAGGTGAGAAAGGCATTGTTTCCACGAGCAGCACAATACCCATTGAATTAAAGCAAAAAAAAAGTGCTCACTGTTTAATCCGTTACTTTTGATTTAATTGTGTATGTGAATAGGTTTATATACACTATAATATTATGGAGTGTGATTTTATTGTATTTTTTTTTTTTTTTAAGGATGGGGGTGCTGCAACAAATAATGGCATTCCTATTATTTTTCAATGGGGAAGGAGGATTTGAGATGTCACTGTTTTGCGTTCACAGAACAAATTAAGCTTTTGTCTCGTGGCACCATTGTGTTTATTTTCAGCAAACACTTTCACGGAGTAATTTTGGTGCACTTTAGCTTTGTTGTTGCCGCTGGTTTCCAGAGTCACTCTCAGTATTTTGATGGAGGAAAAGAAGGCGTCGCACATTCCTGGCATGTCTTTCGCAGAGGAACTCAAGCTCCTAGGCACCCCAAATGAAATTAAAAGCACGATGGCACCCTCCATGGATTCCAGTCAAGTACGAAGCCATTCAATAGCAGACTATTACAGACGATTTGATTTTACGTATGTACATCATTTAGATGCGCAGTGAGGTACCCTGAGTTTTGTTTACAGGAGGAAACTGATGCCACAGAACCAACCAGTGCTCCCGTCCTGTCCCAACAAACAAACAGGTGACATTCCCACGTCATGTATTCCATTCACAATGAAATTATCCTGTAGTTCACTCATTATCTTCTCCCTGTAGGTGCACACAAGCCAAGGAACCATCCACCCAAAAGGTAGTTGTGCTCTGCATGGCCATCATCATCATTTTGGTCATCTTGGCTGCAGGAAATCATGCAAGATATTTCGACTTTCGTCCAGTCCACAACCTTTGGAGGAGCGTGCACCTGATTTTACAGCCCTACCTTAGTGTGCACTATGGAGCCTTACCTCCTGTGTGATCCAAGCAATTCTTATTGTTGTGTACCTTGGATCGTGTTTTTTGTTTGTTTTTTTTTACACGGGTGGGTTGGTGGAGTGGGGGGATCCTGGTATCATGCAGATTTATTCCTTAAATTGAACACCTGTTGTACAACACCAGGATGTAATGCAGATTTCTTTCCATAGGAAACATTTATTTGCAATATGGTTGCATTTGTTTGTTATTGTGGTAGTGCATTGGTGAGATATTTCTGCTGCTTTGAATTCATAAAAAGAAAAAAAAATAGTCTGCACACAAACTTGGCCTCATATATTAATTTGCATGGTACTATACAGAAAAGATGCACTTACCTGTATCTATTTTTCAGATTGGTCATTCAGTTAGTTTTAATTGGTTTTTAGAGCAGGTTTGTTTTTTTTTGTTTTTTTAAGTAAGCTGCAATTCTCAAACAACTGACCTTGGTGCTTCTGCAGCGACGAATGTTCAGCAATACCAAAATTAATGAATTCAAAATGAACCCAAAAGCTCCTATATGATAACGGACAAAAAGGACAAGGACATTTTTGCTGTAATTATAATTTCATAAATATAAGTATTTTTTTTAAACATTTTTGTTGTGGGCAACTGGTTAGCGCGTCGGCTTCACAGTGCATAGGTCGTGGGAGTACCCAGAGAAAACCCACGCAGGCCTGGGGAGAACATGCAAACTCCACACAGGGAGGCCGGAGCTGGAATTGAACCCGATACCTCTGCATTATGAGGTCGACGTGCTAACCACTGGATCACCGGGCCGCCATATATATCCGTCCATCCATTTTCCGATCCACTTATCCTCACAAGGGTCGCAGGGGCTGCTAGAGCCTATCCCAGCCGTCTTCGGGCAGAAGGTGGGGGACACCCTGAACCGGTTACCAGCCAATCGCAGGGCACACAGAGACAAACAACCAGCCGTGCTCATGCTTAGGGACAATTTAGAGTGTTCAATCAGCCTGCCGCGCATGTTTAGGAAATGTGGGAAATGTGGGAGGAAACCGGTGTACCCGGAGAAAACCCACGCGGTGCCCGAGGAGAACATACAAACTCCACACGGGGAGGCTGGGGCTGGAATTGAACCGGGTACCTCTGCACTGTGAGCTCGACGTGCTAACCACTGGCCCACCAGGCTGC